CACACACACACACACACACACACACACACACACACACACAAACGGAGCCACAGCCTGTCCAAACCAATTGTAGCAGAGGTGAGGTGACATCACCTCAAAGACACGAGTGTCACTTCACCTGCAAATGTGTAAGGATGACTTTTTTGAGGATCCCGATGTGTCAGGTCTGTAAGTGACCAGACTCACCTTCACAAAGGCTCAAATCAAGCCCCCAGCAGAAACAGAGATTCAAAGGTCATGTGACCAAAGAGCATAAAGCTTCTCGGGGTAAAGCAGACCTGTCTGGGAGATGACAGTTAAGTAAGCTGACAGCAAAACAAGAAACATGGAAATTATTTTAATTGGGCTTCTTGCAAAACAAATCACAAACAAATCACCAAAGACCAGTAGGTATCAGTAACTCTTATGATGTATGGAATAAGTTTTTTTTACCCCCTCAAATATCCATGGTTTACTGCCATGCTGGCACTAATTAAATGAAACAAATCATGCTTTTAAATCCTTCTTTTTCACATTTAAATCACCTGCAATGCTTTGGTCTAAATTCCTCCTTATTCTCAATTGACAAGCCCCTCTTTCATACTTTTCTGAGATGCATCTCAAAGCAACTCGTTTTGACGCTGTCTCTTTAAATCCAAACGAGGTGCTTTACACCCCACCCCTTCCAGCTTCCAGACCGGTCCATTTCATTTTGAGACAGGGTTTGTGGAGGTTTTGTTTGTTCTGTGCTTACTAGTTCTCTTGCAGTTCATGGAGAGTGCAGTGGGCGGAGACTGGATGGACTCACCTGGGAGCAGTTACCTGCTAATTGAGGACAAGTATTTAAGCTGCTTCCTGAGATCCATCCTGCGCTGGATTATTCAGTCGCCTTGGCTCTGAGTAAGACAGCTCCAGCGTATTACTGACATAATACATTCTTGCTGACTAACCACACTTGTTTTAATGCCCTTACTTGTGTCCAGGCCCTGAGTCTCTGGTTCCCTTCGTGATTGGATCCCTCTGCAGAAGAACTGTGAGTTCTGGGTCCAATATCCAAACTGGAACCTTTTTGTTGTCCTCCGCCCTGCTCTCTCTCCGCCCATACGAACTGCTGGAAAAGATCTAAAAGAACAACGACTAACTCTGCAAACAAACCTACCTCAACAAGCCTCCACCARCTCCTCTCAGAGCCTGTCTCCAGATCCACCCTGCGTAAGACAAACAAACAAACAAATCAATATTCAAAGTCATTTAATTACTCGACACCTCCTCTCAATCATTCCTTTTTGCCTTTCAGCTTTTCACCGAATTCACCTGTAAATAAACTCACTGAACTTTTATCTGTTGTCTGAGTCATTTGTTTACTGTTGTCTCTTTTTGGAGTACTCACAAAACTAACCTTAACAGGGTTGGTGTCTATAGTGGTGAAGAAATGTTTTGTGTGTACATTAATTGAAAGACGTCAACAAGAGGATTTGTCCATCCAGCCTTACATGTTGAAGCCAGAGTCTGACCCAGAGCGAGAGGAGAAAGAAAATGAAAATATTGAATAAGTCTGGACCTTATTTAGCAACGCTTTCACAAAAAAATTGGCATAGTAGTTGAGAAAACATTATAGAAATTTTAAAAAAAGAAACTGAAGAGGTTAAATATGACCCAAACAGAATATAAAGATCACCAGGAGAGACTAAATTCAAAATTTAATGCTATGACTTTTTTCCTCAATCCAATTTTTTTACGTGGTCATTCACATCATAATTGAAATGGGACATTTATCAGACCCCAGTTAGAATCACTTAATGTTCTTAGGCAACCCACAGTTGCAAAAGAAGGCATGGCATCACACAGCATGCTGTGTTTAAGGAAGTAAATATGGATGCTACACATGTTAGAATGTGTTAACATGAGTTTAGTTTCTGGAGCCAACACTGGACAGTTTTTGCAGAGATCCAAAGTCACAAAAGTGTGGCAGGTTCAAAGCTTGGCTGCAACACTTACAGAATGTGTGAAGTTTGCATGCTCTCCAAGTGCATACTCTTCATTGACTGTGCATATTCAGTAAAGTGTAGTTGTGAGAGTGTGAATGTTTCTGTTCGGGCTGCCTGTGTGGCCCTGTGATTGACTGATGACCCATCATAAATGTGTTCCACCTCTCACCCACTGGCTCCTGGAAGCAGACATCAGCTCCCCATGAGCCCGCACTGAAAAATAAGGTAAAGAAGATAGATGGAGTGGGACTTTTATTTTTTTTCCATCTAAGACTCCAGTTACATTCACAAACCTTTAAAACAGCAATCACCAAATGATGGCCCATTGGGGCCTCTTCCAGCTTGTAGAGAATTCTCCAGAGACTTTATCTGTCTGAGTATCTATTTATAATGAACTGCCAACAATTTGATGCAAAACCTCTAACTACCTCACTCTTAAGCCTGTGTATTGCACTGGTCCTTCTTTGAATGGGAATGGAGACAAAATGGTATTCTGTATTATAAAAATATACTGCTGAATGAGGTTCTTCAGTTTGTGCATTAGTGTAATCAAAACTGTTTTATTAGTTTGTTTAAGATTTTCTTCTTTCACAATAGTAATAATTTTGACAAGGGATGTGCTTATACCACCATCTTTCAAATTAAATACAAATACAAAAACTTGCATTTGAGTACTTCTCAGTACAAAGTACCAGTGAGTGTTATCAAATGCCATTACTTTTGCTTTAATTAGAAGAACATCTAAATAAAAAGTAATCTATACATAGAAATGCTTAGTATGTTGAAAATCTATTTTCTGAACACATTTATCCCATTATTTTTTTAAACAATCCAGCATTAAAAAGTCCTCACATTTAATGGTCATCATCTTGTTCATTTTCAGCCTAACAGGGGTGTTATTATAACCCAATGGCACTGATTAAATCATGTGTTAAACTCAAGGCCCGTGAGCCGAATGTAACCATAGCATTTTATGTGATCTGCGAGAGCGTCAAAGATGTATTATTATGTTAAAATAAGAGGGTGCTCCTTTAAAGCCAGCACTGACCATAAACTACATTCCATAATGCATGTCAATTATGTTTCCTGCAAAATGACAGCATCCCACAACTAGGTAGCGGTGCACAGGATTCAAAAGTAGCTGGCAGAAAAAATTTCTATGTAAAAACTCAATATCAATCAATCAATCAATCAATCAATCAATCAATCAATCAATCAATCAATCAATCAATCAATCAATCAATCAATATGTTCAGCAAACCCTGATCTTTTGAGGGGATGTGTGGTGATTTTAAAGGGTACCCTGTTGGTCTGTTTATACACACAATAGAAAGTTAGAAGCAAGCCAGGCTGGTGACCACTATGAAATTGGTAGAGAGCCAATTTTTCTGCATTTTCACCTGTACTTTTGTTTGGAAGTAGGAATTCCCCACTTTCAAGTCACACGTTTAAACTGGAACATCCATCCAGTGGGAATTTTATGTTGGAATATGGGAGATGTCAGAATTCAGGAAGGCAGCTACTTAACACAGCTCATCAATAAGTAAAACTCTCCTGTTTTTACTTTTAATAATATATCTGTATTATTTATTTCATGTTTAGTCAATTGTACACAAAGCACTTTTCAGTGTTTAAAAGAGGACATGTTAAAACACTTTCTATACAAGAAATACCATGTACAGCTCAGGGGTGGGATTTATAAAACTGGCATACGCACAATTTGAGCCCCGAAACTTGCGTACGCCACTTTTTACGCCGAGGTTGTGATTTATAAAATTCAAACTTGATGAGAAAATGCCTCATGCCAGCTCTGACCCATGCGTATACGCTCATTTTGGAGACGTGAAACTGCGACACAGATGGTGAAGTGAGGAATTATAGCCACACTGTGTAATGACTGTATCACTGTCAGATATTTAATTTCTCTTCATAACCAGACTTAGATTTTTATTCAGCTTTAACATCAGCTTTTTTAATAGTTATATTTATGCTTCTGCTGCTGAGCCATGAGGACCATTGAAATAAAAATAAAAAACTTAAATCTTAAATAAAAGTTCCCGTACGCAACTCCCTTCATCTCCTTCCTCCATTGACAACCCTGACCCACAGACCCCTCCTGACCCACAGACCCCTCCTGACCCACAGAACCTTCCCCGACAAGAACAGCAGGACAGCAAAAGTCACGCTTTGGATACAAGCTCAGGGCGCATCCACCTCGCCAGTGTGGATGCTATAAAACTTCACGTTTAAAGTCCGTATTTGTCACGCATGCACTGGGGGATGCGTGCGTGTGTGTGTGCGGGTAGGTGGGGGGGTGTCTGCCGCGGATAACAGAGCAGGCAGGAGGGGGAGAGGATGAGGAGAAGAGCGGTGAACTTATTTCAAATTTTATCTGACTTGTTTAATTTTATTTTTATTGTTTTTATCGTCCTGCAGGCTCTGAGGAAAAAATAATTTGAAGCTGAATTTTTTAAAAATAAAATCGTTAGATTACTCTAAAGCAAAAGGAGGGAAAATCTGTGTCAATTACAGACATTCTGTTCACGTGAGCAGCTGTCAGCACCTGTCATCCTCCAGACACACGACGGAGCGTGTCTGAACCAATCACTTTTGTTGGCATTGATCAGCTGACTGATTTAAATACATCTTAACATTCATGAGGTACTTTACATTGACTGTTTATGGTTGAGTGTGGGCGTGTAGAGGGTAGAACCTGAGGCGGGACCTCGTGCGCAAACTCTGACGTGCGGCTGTGATTTATAAATGACAGGTGCGCAGAAACGTGCGAACGCACGGTTTTATAAAGCTGAATATTTTTTGCGTACCCCATTTTCACCTTTTGGCTGTACGTTCACTTTTAGTATGGTTTCCACGCAATCCTTTATAAATGAGACCACAGGTATTGTTTGTTAGTGGTGCTCAGTCATAGTAATGAGACAAGGTACATGATGCTGTGTGTTTTGTCAAAGTTAAACAGGTGGCTGTGGCAGAGTGGTTAGGGGAGTCGTCCGGGAACTGGAAGGTCGCCGGTTTGATCCCCTGTCCAGCTGTCTCATTTGTTGTGCCCTTGGGCAAGAGACTTCACCCCTAATCCCTCTGGTGTGTGTCCCATCAGTGTATGAATGTGATTGGCACTGATTAGTCTCCATAGATTGATTGTACATGTTAGCTTTGTAGAGATCTAGTAGAGTGCTGTGTAAATGAGTAAATGAGGACACAGATTGTAGTGTGAAGTGCTTTGAATATTCTGAATGGATAGAAAGGCGCTATACAAGTACATTTACCATTTTAAATGCAAAACAAGGTTTATTACAACTGGTCCTTTGAGGGGACCATAACTCTCATGTGGCCCTCGTTGAAAATAAGTTTGAGATCCTTGGCTTCAATAAAAAATATAAAAAAACATTCAAAAACATTTTTGTCACCTCTAAGACATCAAGCTTTCAGCAGCCAGAGTTGAGAAACAGCAAATAACTCACATTTTAAAGGGGTAATATCATGTAAAATTCACTTTTTCTGTTTGTTTTATATCATGTTACAATGTTATCCTCTCATCAAAAACATGTACAGAGTCTTGCTTTGACTCATTCATGCATGTTTGAGAAATCCTGTAGTGTCCTGAGGCAGCCAGACAGGGGCACATAGACAACCAGTTGGGCCTAGAACCGCCTTTTGGGATCAGCTCCTCCTCTGGGCTATGTCTCCTGGCTGAGCTTCCTCAAAACAGGGCACACCTCCCCCACACACCTCCCCCATCCCCCGGCCCACTCCACGACTCCTGCAGGCTACAGGCAGCAACAACTAGCAAACGCCCAGTGAAAAACGTGTCTGCTGAGCTCCTAAAACTACTTCTCAGTGCAGCCCTTTTCAGATTAAAAATACCTTTGAGGAAATGTACTGTATTTTCAGATGCCAAGGAAAAAAAACACCGAGCTGCCGCATCATAGCGCCTTGATAAGCTGAAAGAGTTTTGGCCAACTCTACTCATTTCATGGTCACCAGCCTGGCTTTCATCTAACTTTCTAACTGACATTATGTGTGTAAACAGACATACAGGGTACACTTTAAACCCACCACACATCCCCCAAAAAGCTCAGGGTTTTCGGAACAGATTGATTGATTGATTGATTGATGATGATTGGATTTGATTTGACACAGAAGACAACCCACACATAGAACAAACAACAGAAGATGGCTACATTCTGATTATAAGCTGCTCAAAAATATAATTAAAATCTGAACCTCAGCCATGAACATATATTTTTCTTTCTACAATCATCTAAACTTTTTTTATTGCCTATTATACTGTACCTCTAATCCTCATTTGAACAAAGCTCATCAGCTCCCCTTTT